TTCAAAATTATCAATTTTTCATATATATATAATTAAAAATTCAGCACAATCTAAACTTTAATGACCATTTTCTTTGCTTTGCTTAAAGAATTATTTTGTTATCTAACAGTTACACAGCACAGCCCGAGGGGTTGGGGGGGGGGTGTTATATAATAGTGTAACAGCACAGACCCGGGGGGGGGGTGTTTTCTGTATAAATTATCATGACGCTCAATTAACATTTTTATGAAAAAATACTTATGAAATATTATTTATTTTTAATATTTTGACAATAACGCGGTTTTTTTTGTTGGTTTTTTTTTTAAAATTCTCAGACCATAAATATTTATCTCTGTGTGGGAAGTGTTGGTAAGGATATACTATAGCCATCAATCTCTAAAGTAAAATGACTACAACTGCCATTGTTTTTTTCCCCCCTCCGAATTTTTAGTTACTATTTAAAAATTCTCTGAGTCGTGGAAATAGCCAGTTCAATTCATCAATTGTGAACTATTCAGTTTTGAGTTACTGCTATCAGTTGCATTATTCACAGGGCTTACTCCACGTATACGTGTACAATGGTAGCAATGTGGGTTGTTGTTGTTGTTGTTTTTTTTCTAAGAAGCTTTCATGATAAATGTGAGTAAAAAGCGTTTAAAAACTATTCAAACAACGGTTTTCACTGAGAAACATAAAAACAACAATCACAGTTGAGGGAGATGTCACAGCAAAAAAAAAAAAAAAAAAAAAAAAAAAAAAAAATAAGGGAAGAAAAAAAAAATCAAAAAAACCATAAGAAATAAAAAAAAAAAAAAAAAAAGAAAAAAAAAAAAAACATACAAAAAAATGAGAATACTTGAAACATCATGAATTTTCACAAAAAAACAAATGCAGCGATAAGAAAGATAGCAGCAAAAAACCCCAGTGGAGAAATACATGCGAGGTAAAAAAAAAAAAAAAGAAGAAGTTGGGAATAGACAAGTCCTACCAGAACGCGAACCGATGCCAACCACAAGACAGGCGCGGTTGTACGGGAACCTTAAAATACCAAAAGGGCATGGAAGGCCAGGTAGCTCCTGGCGAAGAGAGGTCAACAGGGACGTTACATGGATTGGAAAAATAGTAGTAAGAGTTAGAGAAAGAATGAGAGCGCGCAAAGCGAGGAAAGACATTGTGAATGGCGTATGCTTCACGGTGGAAAAAAAGGGTGGGGGTTTGAAAAAAAAAACCCCACAGCAAATTTTAAATACTGGATGAAACATTAATCTATATTGAATTTGAAACTAATTTTTTTTTTAATAAGGAATTTTAAAACATAACTTTCTTACACTTTTTTTTCCACAAGAAATCTCAGACATATTCTAATGTGAGGAAAATTGATAACTAACATTACATCATAATATGTCTCTTCAAAATTATCAATTTTTCATATATATATAATTAAAAATTCAGCACAATCTAAACTTTAATGACCATTTTCTTTGCTTTGCTTAAAGAATTATTTTGTTATCTAACAGTTACACAGCACAGCCCGAGGGGTTGGGGGGGGGGTGTTATATAATAGTGTAACAGCACAGACCCGGGGGGGGGGTGTTTTCTGTATAAATTATCATGACGCTCAATTAACATTTTTATGAAAAAATACTTATGAAATATTATTTATTTTTAATATTTTGACAATAACGCGGTTTTTTTTGTTGGTTTTTTTTTTAAAATTCTCAGACCATAAATATTTATCTCTGTGTGGGAAGTGTTGGTAAGGATATACTATAGCCATCAATCTCTAAAGTAAAATGACTACAACTGCCATTGTTTTTTTCCCCCCTCCGAATTTTTAGTTACTATTTAAAAATTCTCTGAGTCGTGGAAATAGCCAGTTCAATTCATCAATTGTGAACTATTCAGTTTTGAGTTACTGCTATCAGTTGCATTATTCACAGGGCTTACTCCACGTATACGTGTACAATGGTAGCAATGTGGGTTGTTGTTGTTGTTGTTTTTTTTCTAAGAAGCTTTCATGATAAATGTGAGTAAAAAGCGTTTAAAAACTATTCAAACAACGGTTTTCACTGAGAAACATAAAAACAACAATCACAGTTGAGGGAGATGTCACAAAAAAAAAAAAAAAAAATTACAAAAATAATAATATGGGAAGTAATAATAAATCACAAAAGCCATATGACGTAACACAGTTGAAAGCAAATGTAACAAATAACTAACTTACAAAAAACAAAAAAAAACAAACAAAAAATCTATCCCCCAAAAAATGCGGTTACTTGTTTTTTTCTTTCTATTAAATTAAACCTTTTGTTATTTAAGTTCTCTCTCTCTCTCTCTCTCTCTCTCTCTCTCTCTCTCGTTAATTTGATTGGTACAACCGTTTAGTATCGAAATCGTTCAATTATTTTGTGTGTGGTGTGTGTATGATAATAATTATTTACAATACTAAAAAAAAAAAAAACGAATAGAGCTGCATATCAAAAGATATTAACACAGTTCATGCAGTGGTTATCAGACCTAAGTCCGTGAAACGGCGCCGGTCTTCTGAAATGAGATCCCGGTGAACATTACTGTATTGGTTTTTAAATTTGGCGTGTCGAGAAATTTGAATTTGTTTTTTTTTCAAGTTCGGACTCTAAGAAAAATGTAATTAATATTATATTGATTAAGTAATACACAGATGCAAATGTATAGATCTACATTTAAAAAAAAAATTATTATAAGTTTGCAAATGATATTTTTCTTGTTTATCGTTCAACAAAATATATCTGATAGTTGTATTAGTCCATGGAATCAATGTTTATTATTTTATTTACGGTCTACTTTTTGTGAAAACGTATAAAACCAGAGCTTCATAATAGGTAAGGCTCTATCAGTTGTACCGAATCAAAAGACGGGGAGAAAACTCTACGAAAAAAATTTAGGACGCCAGAGTTTTCTGGCATCTCCTGATCTCCCCCCACCTCCCAAATGCACGACTTCAAAGTTACCAAAGAATGAGTTAAATGGGGGCTACAGAATAGTACAGCACAAGAAGCCAGGCTGGTGGTCACTGAACTTGCCGTCCTTGCCACCTTTGACCTTCAAGTCGGAACTGATCAGCGGCGACTTCTCGGATTTCTTAGTCAGGGGCGCTCCCTCCGAAGGCAAATTCTGTGCGATGGTAAGTGTAAAAATTTAAAAAATTAAAAATGACTTGTGTTGCCATTAGTTTTAAAGTTTAGCAAAAAGCTCTAAATTGCGTTTCAATATATTACAATATGAATCATGTCTAATCTTTAAGCTTGGCCAAATAAAGATAGACCCCACTCACCTGCATATCTTCCAGCTGGTCGCGTCCATCAGTCTTCTCATCATCGCCATCATAGACCTCAGGCTGTTCCTCGTGCTGTTCCTCGGGCTGTTCCTCAGGCTGTTCGTCTATCTCATCCTGAATTGATTTCTCCAACGTAGTTTCAATAATCACCTTTAAAAACAACAACAACAATGATAGCTAGTTAGGGTTAGGGCTAGGGTTAGGGTTATGGTTAGGGTTAGGGCTAGGGCTAGGGCTAGGGTTAGGACTAGGGTTAGGACTAGGGTTAGGGTTAGGGCTAGGGTTAGGATTAGGGTTAGAGCCGCAATTGGCGTGACCATAATTTTTGTTGGCCACCACATCGAGAAAACTCTGCAGCTGGCCAAAAATAACGCCCCTTAATATATAAGTTTGAAAAAGTGCCACCCAGGGCGGACCGACCCCTGCGCCCCACCGTTCCAACGTCATTGGCTTAAAATCAGTATACATATGTTTTTAAACCCTGTCAGAGCAAACTCGATACTTGAAGCGGGACGTTTCTGTTTCCCTCTTTGAATGCACTTCTCTCCCTCTGTGCTCTCTTCTCAAATTTTTCTTCTCACTCGTTCGAACTTAACACTTAATTGTACATAATTCTTAATGTACTCATATTACCCCTCCCCCCCTCCCCCCCCCCCCCCGGGTCCTATTTCTTGAACTCAAATCATTTTATTTATTAACATTTATTTTTTTTTATTAAACTTTGCTTTAAAATTAATTATCCCCTCCACCACTCCATGACCCATTTTTTTTTTTTACACTTACCGAATTAGACTTAGACACAGTGGCGACCTCTGCAACCTCCACGTCCACGGGCTGTAGCTCCTGACGTGGCGTCACCACCAGGTCATCAACGACTTCGGCTCCGTTGACGTCATCGACGATACTCTCCTTGCCAACTTCCCCGTTGAAGTTGGTCTCCACCTCAGTGACGTCATGGGGACCCTGGTCGGAGATTTTCTGTGGGGGCGTGTCAATTCTTTTCGTTATTGTATTTTCTATTCACTTCTCTACGTCTTAAGCTGCACCCAAAACTATTTTATGCCCAGATTTGGTTTGACTCTTAAGTCTCTCGTCAGGGATGAATGGCCTTAAGATTTGTTATTATATAATTTGAATAAAGTAACACATTTTCTTTGGAAAGATTTTTGTGTGAAAATGTTGATCTATTATTAAGTTTATAAATGCAATGCTTCTTTGGGGTATTTACATTTTAATTGTGTATGTGTGTGTTTTAAATTATATTTTTTTAAAATATATTCTTATTTTTAAATATATATATATATATATAAATACATCAATTAAATTAGCATTAAAGATAATGTTATTATTGGTTTTTTCTCTGAATTATTTTCTGGTGTTTGCCTATTAATTAAAAAAGAAAAGTAATATTTATTATAGAAGTTTAGAACCACTGTATTTTGGGTTAATGAACAATTCTTAAATCCCACAAAATGGCCACACACAAAAAAAAAATGGATTCGGAATACAATAACACTACTGCTTGTTAAGATTTGTAATAGGAACAACAGGAGCTCGGCCTTCTCTCTATCAACCAAGCCATTATTAACAACACATTAAAACATTAAGCCCTACATACAGCTTGGACCGTGGCGTGCCATTGGCTAAAGCCCAGCTGTCACTGCAGTCGAACAAATCCATACAAGTAGATTGGTTATTTATTTTTTTAAGAACCACAATCCCCCCCCCCACACACACACAAATCTTGATATGTGTATGTTATTGAATGGGATGTTTAACGTTGGAATTGTTTGAATGTTTAGGAGAGACATACACCTAATTCGTTAAGAAGTTTCTTGAAGGCATCTTCATCTTGTTTTGATAGGTATTTCCAACTTCGATAAAACCACTTATCTAATACTGCCTCAAAAACCCCTGGAAATGATTACACAACTTCTAAATTCATGATTGGGGTTTGTGACATCTGTTGTTGATAAGGGTGACATTTCAATCAGCTTTGACCGTGAAAATGAGTGAGCTGGGGTGTGGGGGAGGGGTGTGGGGGTGGGGTTTATTCTTTGATCTTCTGGCATCCGTCCGTCACACTGGTGTAGACTTCGCAGTCCGAAATCACAAGGCCTGGATTTTTTTTTCCCTCTAGGAAGGTAAGCTGGTTCCCTCGACAGCTAATCGCCTTTCTCCGCGCACCTGGACAACCCAGGGGGGAACATCATGCGTGGATGATACAGCTTGGCACCAGTAGCGTCGCAGGAGTTGCCAGAATTTTCATTGTGTCAATGCCATACCGCCTAAACGACTCCATCTCCGGGTTTGAATTCAGATTTTTCCTCTTAGAGGAGTGGCCATCCACGGTTAACGGGTCCCTTCCTCCCGGAGTGCTGGTGGTGTTTTCACTGGTCTACTTTTTGCTTGGGGTCTGAACTCCGTCCGATTTTAGATTATGCATCTTCAGTCTGGGACCCATTT